ACAAAATCACTTCAGTGTTTCAAACGAAGGATGAGTTTATCACTGAGTGTGCTATTTTTCCTCAAGATACCCGTCAATGATATCCTAGGAACAAAGTGACGTTGTAGATTTTATTACTTAAAGAAATTTCTCCCACTCTTCTAGCGCGAATTCGTTTTGGAACATTGTTAGTTCCCGTTGCATAATGGGATCACAGAGTATTAGTGTAGACGTGAAGCATAACTTACTCGGCAGAAGTAGTCAACCGACTTATAATTCTATAAACTCATTGAATAAGGCAATTAAAACATGTTATACATGTTCAGCCATCTATCTCAGTGTTATATGCTTGTTACCATAAGTGTTTAAAAACAGTTGGATGGTAGTCTAACCAAGAAACGGCATAATATACTTGAAGTCAGTCAGTCATACGTAACGTAGATACTGGCGTGTGTGCACATCGGTTCAAATTGTCACGCCATTTGCACAGGAAGATGTTGTTAGTGTAAATCTCAGAATAGTGGAGTCAGTAGGAATATTAGTGGTAACAAAAAGGTCAGGTGTCAAATATATGATTTGAGAAAATATGAACTAGTCGGATAGAAAATTTAAACTTCGTAATTGTAGCCTATTTGTTAATTTTAAAAGGTAGTTGGAAAATCTAAGTCAAATGATATGCAGTTGTATTCATTCTTTCCCTCCCTCCTATGTCTTGAGCTTAGTGCCATCTCATCCTTCAATAAGATTTTTTTCTGGATTATATTTTCTGATTAACCAAATATACTAACATTAGTCTTATTATTGCGATTCATTTGTTTTCCATCTTTTTAATCCCCTATACTGATGTGAGCTGAATTAGTTTACACCAGTACGTATGTCTTAGGCCATGTGTGGTCTATAATATTATTGCCATTATGTAATCTGTAATGTTTTATATCGTGTCACCTGTGATTTCACGATCGTGTGTAACTTGTTTATTTGTACACATACAAACTTAAAACTGATTTGGTTTAGGGATTTAAAATATGAACATCTTTCTGACGTGGAAGATTTACGCACACTTATGGAGAATTCGGTGCAATGTACAATAAGTTTACTATGTCAACAAAACGAGAAAAATAAGCTCGATGAAGAAATCCAATCGAAAGCTAACGAATCGTTATTAAATAATGATTGTTATAATATAACACTTCAATGGACACATAAACAAAATCAATATGATATTTCATCTCTTCATCCGTCTACAGTTCTATTATCACACATACTTCCATTTGCTTGTATTTCTTCATGTGTTCCACCAAAAGAAATCTATTGTACATATCAAGTACCTTCACTACAATCATCAGAACCGGATGATCCTTTCGATGATATGTATATATCTTTGACAGCACGTGAACGTCGTAAACGTGGTTTACCGAATGAACATCAATCAACTATTCTACCTAATAATGAACAACTGGAAACAGAAATAGATGTTACGGAACAGGTAAAAAACAATATTTTATATTAACTCAATTTACATTTGAAGCAGACAAATAAAAATGTGGGATCTTGCATAAAGGTACATCAAATTCAGTTGTATTATAATTCGAAATGATAGTATAGAAAGACGAAATCCACATAGTTGAAAAGATGGTAAACTTGCGATTATGAACGTAAATGTAAAGGTTGATAGTGGTGTAGTGGTATAATGATTAAAGTATTCGCCTTTCGACCATTAGGTCGTGAGTTAAAGTCCAGCTCAATCTACTTTGGTCTGAGCTATCAGACAGTATCATTAACCCACAATACAATCAGAGTGGCTCGAAGCCAACAACATAAATCTATATGTAGTAAATAAGTTGAAATAAAAGATAAGAAAGGTTAAGGATAAAGTGCCAATGTAATTTCTAACGTGTAAAACGTGGTTTTATTCCCATTACTACGATTGATTTTTTCTTCTATGTAATTTTGGATATCCAAACATCAATGTGTTATCTAATTAGAACATCATCCATTATATTTAAACCATTCTACACGTTTCAAAAGATGCCATATCTTACTAGAGTTCTATAATTTAAAAACTAGTCCCATCTCTTCAGTATTATCAATATGTTATAGTGGTAATTATAAATGAAGAGAAATACAACAAAAAATAAACCTGGTATGTGATTCTCGAGATTCAAGAAAATTATAATAAACAATTTAAATGAAGGGCTGGTTTCGTAATTATATCTTTATTGTAAATCCATGAAATCAGGAAGTAGACGATTAAAACTTATTTTTGCATAAAGCCACTTAATAACATCCTTCCATTAAACATCTAAATACAAATGCGAACTTTCAATTATAGAATGTTAATCAACAAAGATTACTGTGTGGATCTGTAGCCATAACTATTAAGAATTCAATAAATTGAATGGGCTTTGGATCCATAATTTTGTAGACCATTGAACCTTAGCTCCTGATCTAACATCAGTTACTGATGAATTTTATCCAAACCAACTTTTCCTATTGAAATGATTGACTGTCAAGTAGTTTTACTTACTGATATGTTTCACATGGTTTTTTTTACAAAGTTAATCAATCAAGCTTGTATTCAATAGTTGTTTGAGCATTTTCACCATATTTTCTCTATAGGTGGCTCCGGTAAGCAACCCCCTTCCACAAAAACCTAACTCCTTTGAATCCCTTCCAGAGGCAGTTTGGTGGAGTATCAGTCAGTGTGCAAACTTAATTGGTTCTCAAGTAGGGTCAGAAGTTATTGTTCAAACCTCTGGTCTTGCACCCGGAAAGCCTTCTCAAAGTTCAAGCTCCGTAAGTGACGAACTACGTCGACGTTTGTTGGGATGTATTATTCTTACTGGTGGAGGGGTAGCTGGTGTTAATAATCAAATAATGGAAAGATGGTTGACTGAGCAGCTAATTGTAATAGCACGGGAAAAACAAGCAGCAACAACCGTATCAAGCCACATACCAACAGTTGAAATCATTCATCACTCTGAACCTGGAGACCTCTCTTGGTCTGGTGCTAGGTTGCTACTGACTTCTGACTTGATGAATGACTTGTGGATCACACCAGTCGAATGGAACAAATTTGGTTCGAGAGCTCTTCGTGAAAAAGCACCCTTCCCTTGGTGATTTAAACTATAAATTGTAGATTTATGAACGCATCTTTGAAATTTCTTATTCATGTTATCAAATGCATTTATCCCAGTTATTTCTAGTTTGTTCTTTGCGTACCTGTCGAAAAGAAATTAAAACTTTCCCAAGGAAATTACGTGTACTAACGTTCATCTTCATTTATATAAAGAGCCAATCCTCATTCTTATATGATATCATGCCGTATACTGCCTAATATCCATATAGCCTAAGGAAATACAAATCATTTCAATAAGCTATTAAGATTAATAGCAGTAGTATTGGTAGTCTACGAGAACACAGAGGCACTGCGTTCAGGAAGAAATCTATTAGTCGTGAAGTCATTATTTGAGGGGTCGCTTGGATCTGCAAAAGAAAATTGTCTCTGGGAATCCCGTAGTCACCTGTCATCGAAGTAAATCCTGTAAAGGATATCCCTCCCGTTTAATAAATTTCTAACGAGCTCATTCGCTTAGATATTGATTAGTGCGAAGGAAGTATTGCAGTCCAACAAACACCCGGATAATACGAGTTACCGTTCTGTATGTACTTATTGCAAATGTAGGCAGTGGATAACTCGACTTCTCCCCTTATATAGTTCTTAATAAGTTGGTAACTAGCAACTCTAAAACATCAATAAGTAGTGTTCATCAAAGACTGTCTACTACAATGATGTATTTTAGAGTAGATAACTGGCTTATGAGGCGTCCGACCATCACTCACTTGATGAAGTTACTGAATAAACATTAATAGGGCTTTAACCGAAGAACCTATCAGAAAAGTCAATGAGAAACTCCAGGAGACTGATTCTTATACGCTATAACTCAGTTATTCTCTAATATTGCGCTCGCATACTTGCACTTCACCTTGGGTATTGAATATGCGCTATAGAAATAAAGCAACTATTTTCAAAATACCGGTGTTCAGTTGCACAGACACGGAAAACTGACATAAATTAGTCAGCTCATCCGCAGACAACACATTTGTTTAAATCAATAAGAAGAAAAGCAGTTCAGTCGACGCAGGTTGTGGTTGGAAACACATGCAAGGATGTGTTTGATGACCACTACACCGAAGACTTGCAATACAACTGATTAACATTTGGGATAAAAACGACTATTGACAGGATTGCAACTCACCTAAATTACGCAAGTTATGACGGATTAACAGAAACATGTGGTTTCATTTATGTCCTTCTCAGATGCAAATGATGTGGTTACAAGTTAAAATGAATACAGACACTGATCGAATTGATGGAAAGTGAGACCAAACTAATATAAAGTAAATACAAATAACAAAAAATCAGGAAGCCCCAGGCAGCAAGCGATAAAGATAAACTGAAGTGTTGTAAAATAGGAATTAATTCAGAAACAGAAAACTTGGACACAGTTGTTCTCCATAACGTCATCCTCCAGCATAATGTCAGTCATCTGCAACGTAGGACCATGCGCGTATATGCATCGGTTCAAGTCGCCATACCCCAGTAGCACGACAAGCTAAACACCAAATTCATAGAAGCAGTTGCTCCAATAGTATAAATCTACAACCACTGTACCACAATAACCAAGACAAGCTACCTTTGTATTATGCCAGGTGCTATGTTGTTTTTAACTGATGGGACTAGTCACCACTATGTTATGAATGTTGGTTACAGCTTAAATATTTAAAATGCGTCGACCAGTATAGTTAAAACGTGCAAGGAGTGTGGGTTAACTTTAGTCAACAGAGGCTATGCAAGGACCTGATGCTTAAAAGAAGCTTAGTCTCATGAGGAATAAGACAGATTTAAGCTCAACCGGATGTCCGTAAGGTAATATTGTTACCCGTGTAGTCAAACTTTATTCCTAACCACTCACGTTCCAAAACAGCCAGACTCGAGAAAAATTAGCATAAGAAAACTAACACGATAAATTATATTATATATATTAAAGTCACATAAAAGCTGCAGAAAAAAATGAATATTCATATTATGTATAATATGGAGAAGGACAAGTCACACAAATATAAATAATACACATGACTATTAAGCACATGCGCATAAAAACAAATTAAAGAAATGCAAACTAATGTGCGTATATCTAAAAAAACAAACTAATTTACATAAAAAATAAAACAATTATTATATAAAACGGTCCAGCCTAATTGGATGTCCATAAGAGGGAGATAAAATAGGACATTTGTAAGTAAAACGAATAATAAACACCAGTAGCCCCCATCACAATAAATGCCATACAACATTTCTGAGATCATAGAAAATGCATTAAGATGTGACCGACGAATCCCCATTCGTATCTTCTTTTACATCATCTTCAGCTTTTTCTTCTCGTTGGTCAGAATTGTTTCCATTCTCAGACACTCCGTTAGTTAGCTTTTGATTGGACATTTTGTTTGCCAATTCAGTAATAATATCACAAAATCGCGTACAATGCTGTTCAGGTATGGTGACTGAAGAACGAATGTTAGCACGAACTTCGGATATACGCAGAAATACGCCAAATCTATTAGAACCAACATCGAAATAAAATGTCTTGTTGCCTACGAAGAGTACTTTAGATTCAGGTAAGTCTGAAAATATATCTGTAAGAAAAAAAGGCAGTTTACGATACTAAATTTCTAGAATTCATATTGTTTAAATGGTGTAAATATGAATAAATACTAATTCTGGTGGATATTTAGCATTAATAAAACAAGAGATGTACTACTATATATAAAAATTGTCTTTTAAAACTATACAATAATAAACTGCCATTCTCTTTACTAAGTAGTATGAAAACGAGCCTCATATTTAGCAGGAATGTGGTGTGCAATAACAAACACACTAGAAGGATGAACATTAAAGAAAAACCTGAACCGATAATAACTACTTTAATTAAAAAGGAACCCTATATTAACAAAATGGCGTGGATATCATTTAGCATTTGGGTAGGGAACTTGAGCGATACGATGTTGTCCAACAACGAAAAAATCATTGAAAATGAGCCGCAAACGATGTGCCAAGATTAACGACAGTCAGTCAGTTACAACGCAGGACCAGGCATATACATGCATCGATCCAAGTTACCTCATTAGCACAGCAAGACGAACACCGGATACATAGAAGTAGCTAATTCAATGGTGGTAGTATATAAAAGAAAGATTGCATATAGTACAGGAAGGAAGAATTAGTTCGTACAAAGAAAGATATGAAGCGATTTCAATCTCATAGTTTAAGGGAAGACAGAGAGTGTATACACCCACGCCATTGTGATCGATTCTGAGCCATGTCACCCACAGTCCCCAGCCATTGGTTACGATAGCCACACGAACCCTAACCAAGTAGTCTGCACCTACCAACATGCCTAAGACTAGAAGTTAGTGACTTCAAGCACTGATGCCACGTTTTGATTTGGCCGCTCCTAACTTTCTTCCAACCATTCCCAACACTAGTCAGCATTGAGCGTCGTGGTAATCGGTGTTCAGGCATACGTAACACGTGGCCAAACCATCTTAGTCGATGAAGATTCACAACACCAACTGATTTACCATCATTCCATAATACAATGCGTCTGACCTCACTATTACTTACCCGGTGATCTCAGCAGATGCGAGCAATATTACTAGGGCATCTGTGGCCAAATACTAGTAGCTTACGAGTATCTTCTACTCTTAGTGGCCACGTTTCGCAGCCGTAAAGTAGAACAGAACGAACTTTTATTGATAGACGGATATCTCACCTTCGCCATAGGTAACCTATATTGGCAAAAGCTAAACGAGCTTTTTGAAACCGTGCTGAGATTTCGTCAAACACCAACCCATTACGGGTGATCAGACTTCCAAGTGAAGTTTTCAACGCGTTCGACTACTTCACTCCTTCTCCTTACTTCATGTGTTGACGCAGGCCAGTCCTGAAGCGCATTCCAAACATCATGGCATTGTTGCTCAGTGCCATCAAAAGTCTCTGCGTTTTATCAGCGTCTTCACCAAACAGGACTATATCATCTGCGTATTCTAAGTCGATAAATGGACCTCCAGGTAGGAGATAAGATTAACGATACTGAATGATTGTTCAGACTGTCGAAATTCAAGTCGCCGAACTGTCCACTTTACACAAAAAATGTTCGGTATGTTAGCTGGTTACTTCCAGTGAAATAAAGTTGTCTAGAATTGTCCAGATTTTCAAAGTCGTTGAGGCTGAGTTAAAACAAACAATTCCACTTTTTCTCCAAGTTATAGGATTATCCCTACTGAATTTAAAACGTCGAATTTCTTGGTAAAATTCTATATCCATAAAATCCACAGAAAACGCATTTTATTGTAAAAACGAAGCGTTTACAGAGCCAGAAGTGGGTATGCTTGTAACAGGCAATAATAAAAATTGCTGTTGTTATTATCAATCTGACTACACGGTTGTGGATCGCAATTCATTCAAATAATCCAGTCAGTCATGTGCAACGTACAACCCGTGTGTACGTCAGTTCAAGTTACCATATCCCATTAGCACAGATATGAAGTTATCAGGCCAAACCACACAGTAGAAATATAGTCACATGATTGTTTATTTAACACATAGACATTGGTACAAGGAGGCACCAAATACATATGCGCCACACAGATCTCATTTGATATGTGTGAGGGCTGTGATACTGACCGGGTGCCCAAACAGAAGCATGTGGTTTTCTTAGGGGGTCACACCTAGAGCCTTCGACTAGAAGGTCTGATTTACAAGGAAGTTGAGCATCGTAAGGAGATGCAGTCCCATGGTAGCCGGTGACCAACGATTGATTCATACGCCATTTATTCCTTCAGGATACTAGAGCTCATGTGCACCATTGGTTTGGAATCCGGTTAAAGCGCCGGACATTCGCTTTTCGTTCTCTCATTTTCGTAAACAACACCCCCGCCACGAGAAGGCAGTAAGTAGGACTTCCCTGGCAGAGGCTATATACGCGTGGCCATTTCAAGAGGGAGAACTGATTCTCCTTACTCTCAGCCGTACCAAGGTATTTGGAGGCCACAGGATTGTTAGTGTGTAGCAGAACGTGGCATCAAATTTGCAGCAATTTTTAGAGTGAAGAGTTTTAGTGGATTGAAAGCACGGCGTTAGAATAACACGTGAAAATCAGACGAGAAGACGGCTCGGATTGCAGAACACACCGAAAGATGGAAATGGAGGATTAAAGGATACGTATGTGTATATACTCTGTAATTTTTTACAATAAACATACATTCCTCATGTCTTTTGTTTCGTTTTACAGAGATAGTAACAGTATTAGTGGTAATAGGATTAGGCATCGAACATACGATTTCAGAAAATATTGATTAGTGGAATGAAAAAAATTAGAGTTAGGATCTAAGGGAAGATAAGGAGTGAATGTACCCGTGCTATTGAGAAAGACTTTGAGCTGTGTTGTCCAGTCTCTAAACGCGGACCCCAACAAGATGGTCTGAACGTACCCATACAGCTTAATCAAATAGTCAGTGTCTTTATAGACTGATATAAGATAATTCAACTCTTGTGCAATAATAGACATGTCGTTTACTATTAAAAAAATTGATATGAAAACATGGAAAAGTGACGAAAAGATAGAGTGATTGGGAGCACTTTATAAGTGATATGATTTTCGCAAATCAGCACGGTAAACATACGGACAGGACTGTTCTTTGGGATTGTCTATTGAAGAAGGGTGTGCCTGAGAAGTTTATTAACATCCTAAAAGCCCTATATAAAAACACCTCAGGCAGAGTGAGGGCATACAACCACCTCTCTCCATTGTTCCATTCGAGTAGTGGGGTTAGGCAGGGTTGCCCAATCTCACCATTCCTCTTCAACTTTACCATCGATGACATTCTGGAAACAGCTCTGATGAATGTAAGTAATGGTGGTGTGGATCTGTTGCCTGAAGAAAGACTTCTCGACCTTGAGTATGCGGACGATATTGTCTTATTGTGCGATAATATCCAAGGCATGCAATCCGCACTTAATCCGTTGGCAATCAATGTCCGTAGGTATGGTATGTGCTTTGCACCTTCGAAGTGCAAAGTACTTCTACAAGACTGGCAGGATTCCAATCCTGTACTCACCCTGGATGGTGAGCAGATAGACGTAGTCGAGAAGTTCGTGTATCTGCATAAGTGCTGGTGGGGGTGTGAGTGATGAGATCAATGCACGTATAGTGAAAGCCAGAGCGGCTTATGCCAATCTGGGCCACCTTTGGCGCCTTCGTGATGTTAGTCTGGCTGTAAAAGGTCGGATCTACAACGCGTCGGTGAGAGCAGTTTTGCTCTATGCTTGTGAAACCTGGCCTCTCCGAGTTGAGGACGTTAGACGACTCTCTGTGTTCGATCATCGCTGTCTCCGAAGGATCGCTGACATTCAGTGGCAACACCATGTCAGTAATGCAGAGGTTCGGCATCGTGTGTTCGGGCACAGAGATGATAATTCAATTGGTGTCACCATCTTGAAACACCGACTTCGGTGGCTTGGACATGTTCTACGAATGTCGTCCCAGAGAATTCCACGTCGTGCATTATTTGCCGACTCTGGAACTGGTTGGAAAAAGCGGAGAGGTGGTCAGTGCATGACATGGTGTCGTGGTATGAAAGAAAGCTGCAAAGGACTGGCTTCTGTCGGTCCTTCACGACTCCCTGGTTGGGGTCTGAGAGATGGTGCTACACAGTGGCTAGAGACGTTATCAGATATGGCTCAGAATAGAAGCCAGTGGCGATCCTGCTGTAACCTTCTTTTACTTTCTTCATAAAAAGTGGTTGTGTCTCCCTTACTTGAAATATTTCTTCTGATTGTACCTTTCCGTTCCCTCGTTACTACCACACTACCTTACACCAATCTCTTCGTTATCGTTCTCTTTTTCTTTTGTGCTCCTTAGTTTTTTTTCTCTCTTCGAATTTTCATTGTTTTGTGTGGCGCATATATATTGGCGCTCTCTTGTACCAACATTTATGTGTTCAAATAAATAAATAAATAATAAACATACGTAACATATGACAAGAAGGTGCATAAAAATCAGGTTTTAGAAAAAAACCTTACCATTCTCCATATCTCCTGAATAGTCTTGTATAAGATCAGTCAATGCATTGCGCAATTCGATCATACCCTGAGCTGGAATTGCAATCTGAACACGAACGCCCATAGAAAGCATAGCAAGACGCAGGAAACGGCCACGTTCATTTTCCTTGAGATCAAGATAATAGCGCCTGCTATCACGAACAATAATGTCAGACGCAATGCGCCCATCTTGTGCGAGTGACTCGCGATTGTGAGATGGAAGTTGGCTATATGTATCACTAAGTTTGTGAATTTTTTCTTTCATTTCCAGAGCAACAGGCATTGACATCAAGATGCGCGATTTCTGTCCTCCATTGCCAACTTCAGTTATTTTCACGAAGCGACCTCTCTTATTTTGCTTGATATCTAGGTAGAATCGTTTGTTTTGTATACGAAGAGCTTTGGAGGCCAACTCTTGTTCCTCTTGCTGCCCATCTGATATGTTACGTTGACTTAGTAATTGCAACTCACCTTTAAAGCTTTTCACAGCAACAGTTTCTGGCATTGCGCAAACTGGAACCTTCTCTAAGATACCGAACTACAACCAGCTCCTAACCAACCTCTACATTAAAATAAAGTGTTCATAATGAATGCTGAAAAGCTAATAAAGACGGGGGCATTTTAAACCAACTAGTCTCAATCAGTAGAAACAGGTAAAGAGACAAATGTAGACCACTTTAGTGGTTACATTAACCTTGATATTGACAATTCGACTAATCACAGGCAGAGAACAATGCACAAAATAGGTTTAGTCTAGTTCTACAAATTTGGATTAAAACACGTAAACGAATAGGACGTTGGTTACTCAGTTTAGCACTTTCTTTAATACTGAAGACAAATTATTAAAATTCAAAGGATACTGGAATACAGAAAAGACAAGGTTTCTATAATCGTAAGATATAGTTTACCTCTATTCTAACATTAGATTCACAGCACACGACTCTAACCAGCTTCATAGATACATTTTTCAACATTTATGGTAAAAGTGTAGTATACTAACAACTTTGAATGAACCCACTAGGAATAAGTTAACGTCTCAATTATTTTTGAAGTACAGCGATAGGTAGCGTGTCATTATTAAGCAAGTAAAAATCGGCAATATTTTATTCATAAAACATCTGGGATCACTGAAAATATCTATTATATAACAATAAAGTGGCTTTCAGATGGTGCTTACGCTAAATTACGTGAAACACCTGCTTCTAAGGTAGACTGTGCTGAAGTGCTTAATGAGATTCATGAATGATCAAATTTGTCACTAAATCTCAACCCCAAGTATTTCAGGTTTGTAAACAGAAAGGCGATGTACTGCATTATAGATGACATCAGTCCTTGTTGAAAACATTGACCCCAATTTATAAATCCAACTCAAAACTCCAGTTTAACTTTCAATACCCAACCCAAACACTTTGATTATAAATGTCAGTGACAAAAACTATGAGGTGATAACTAGCAACTCCAGCCTGACTATTAGTATGTATGTATATACGTAAACTCCTTTTTTCTCTTTGCTAGAAGCGATAATTTAACCCCAAATCCCCTGGTACGGCCGAGAGTCCGCTCTCTTTCTCGAAATGCTCTCACATGACCACGTGCATACAACCACCGCCAGGGAAGTCCTACTCACTGATTTTTCGCAGCGAGGGTGTTGTTTACGGAATTTAGAGGACGAAAAGCGGGTTGGTGGACACGGGGAGTTCACCTAGAGGAGCTAGAAAACCCTGATTCCAAACCATTGGTGCCCATGAACTCCAGTATCATGAAGGAATAAATGGCGTATGAGTTTATTGTTGGTGGCCGGCTACCATGGGACTGCATCACTGGACGTTACTTCACTGCCTTGTGGATCAGACCTTCAGGTCGAGGGCTGCGAGTGTGCCCAATTTAGAAAACCACCTACTTTAGTTTGGGCACCCGGATAGTATCTCAGCCCTCACACAAATCGAATAACGAGATTTGTCACATTAATTTCAATCCAACCGCAGCTATAATATGTGCAATACAGATGATTACATTTAAATGCCGAGCCATGCCTTGATCAAATCCATCAGTCTAGGTGATTAGTAATTTGAGTCAAAAAACCCTGATTCCAAACGAATGGTGAGCAAGGGTTTAGGATCCTGAGGGCACAAATGTCAAGTGAGTCCATTCTTGGTCACCGACTACCGAGGGATCGCATTTTTTAACGTTGCTTTACTGTTAAGGATTAAGTCTCTCAGGTTGGCTTTTAAGAGAACGATCTGCTCCGTACCGGGCACCCAGGCAGTACTCCCGCTCACGTACATACTTTGGTAACCCTTTGCGCCTATAATGGTTCAAATAAATATGATAGTACCACATTAGTTAGGTCCCTATAATACGCCACAATAACTACATCACACACGAATCAATTCAGAATATCACTCTAAAACTACCCACATCAAGAAGTTTTATCACAAATTTATCAGTTCCACCTTTAATAATTAAAAATCCTGAGATGGTTAGACGTCCTATTATTGATATATTGGATAGACACAATAAGGATATTGGATGCGCGAAGATGGGCCAGACTAAACCTTAAAACACGAATCAATATGATCGCAGACTTCACACATCGCTGACAGACATATAAAGGACACACCTCAGAAATTGCTGTACTTACGCAAATACGTCAAGTAGATGGCTTATAGATGGCACTCCACTTTGGAAGCAGGATTAAGTGCTCTGTCCCACTTTAGTTAGAAATCTGGGTAGGATCAAAGAACCCAAACCAAAAAAAACGAGGCCAAAGGGCCAGGGACTCGAACCCAAAGTTGGAAACTGCATTGAGTAGAAAAAACATGGGTACATTTCCTCAAGCTCCTGTAAACGTGAGATATCCCAGCAAAGGATTTTCCCATACATCTAATGGAACTTAAAATCATACCACAGATGGTCAGACGGTTAATACGATTTCAAGTTATGCTCCCTTTGCCCTTCAATGCTGAACGCTTAACATATACAACGTTTTTTGTGTAGAGAACATGCCTGTATTCTAGATCATTCGGATGAACTAATGTAAACCAGATGACTTCATTGAGTCCGGCATCAAATCCCCCCCCAACGAATCCTAGAGGTAAGATAGTTCATTACATACGTAGCAGTGATATTCAATACTATTTGAGCGTTTACACAATATAATTTAGGGGATATTTACAGATATACCTTCAGAACGAATTAGGCAGCTGACAGCCTAGGCGCTTTGAGTAATCCCCGTGTATTTAAACAAAGACCGTTGATTAAAACTACCTTTCAGAAAACATTGAAAAGTAAACACGTAACTTACAAACAGTCACCTTTTCTGAACGATTGCATTTTTCTGACAACGTTTCTTCTATAAATTAAACCAATTCATAAAGTAAGATGGACAATAATATCATGTTCACATGAAATTATATTCCAACTGGAATATATATATATATATATATATATATATATATATATATATTCATACTACATTTCGTCTCAGTTTTCCTTGCCTTTTTTTGTCGATCATTCCGTGTACTTGTGGGAAGTGTTATTCTTGAAATCGTCAACAGGATCATACCCACCCCAAACTTATACGCGTCTGTGTTAAGGCCTGAACATCAGAATCCGAGTAATAAAAATAACTCAACGTTTTGTCCGTTTTCCATGTGTCTCAAGTAAACTGTATCTATCCCATGCGACATTTCATGGTATATGCGGCTAAGTAAACGAGTGGTTCGGATAGTGCTCCACTCGTAGTAATGAGTAAAAATCAGATTTCTCTCAACGCCTTGAATTTAGACTGTCTATGGTACAAAATAATTTACTTATCATCAATAAGACTGCCTACTTATAAGCGAAGGTGCCATATATGTTACCCCTTCTCATAGTCTCAATCACATTGTAATTCAAAATATCTCCCCGATATAAAGAGTGCTGTGGACATTAAACATTAATGCTGGTTTTATTAGCATTATCGAACCTTACTAGCTGAAAGTACGGAATCTCGTATCACGTCAATAACTATGCACCGGTCATGTAAGTTGCCACTCCTCCACTAGATAGTCGGCAAAATAGCCCCAACTTCATTTGTTTTCTACTCTATTTGAATCTGTTGTTTTCCCTACTCTCAGCTTTTACTTCCTCGGTCATCGAGATATCGTACTTTACGTATTCCGATGTAAACACCGTCTGGTCCACTGTCATATACAGCATCTCTCAGGCCAGTGAAACAAAGTTGAAGCTTACGGGAAACTGCCACTTCAGCAATAAATTAGTCTTGAGGTGGAAGACGAACTATTCAGCACCATCCCATCTTATCTACTTTACGAGCCTGACTGGTCACAACAACCTATGAATATCAGATTTCAACTGACTGACTACCAACTTGTAGCCAAACTTGTCGTCTAACTGATTGAGTACATCAAAATTTCTTGACCTTCAGTGTGTCATGCAACCATATAGAAACTTAATCGAATGGCAAGCATAGAACTGAAACTCAAACAAACTACAGTTTATGACCAGTCAGTGTCGCACGTTTAGGTAAGTTTCTGAAGATCGAATACCCTTTACCCCCCTCTCACGATATATTATATTTGAAACCAGAGATTCGTATTGGCCATATGTCTTAATTTTTAAGTAATCACAAATGATTGACTGTAATATTAAATATTACTTACTTACTTACGCCTGTTACTCCTCGTGCAGTAGCATAGGCCGCTCACCAGCATTCTACATCCAACCCTATCCTGGGAAATCCTTTCCAGCTCCTTCCAGTTCCTATTCATCCTTTTCATATCTGCTCCTAGTATCCGACGCAATGTGTTCTTTGGCCTTCCTCTTGTTCGCTTCCCTTCAGGATTCCAAGTTAGGGCTTGCCTCGTGATGCAGTTTGACGATTTGCGTAATGTATGTCCTATCCATTTCCATCGTCTTTTCCTAATTTCTTCTTCAGATGGAAGCTGATTTGTTCTCTCACACAAAAAGCTGTCGCTGATTGTATCCGGCCAATGGATGTTGAGTATCTTGCGTAGACAGCTATTTATAAATACTTGTACCTTCTTGGTTGTGGTTGTTGTAGTTCTCCAAGTTTCAGCTCCATACAGTAGAACTGCCTTGACGTTCGTATTGAAGATTCTCACTTTGATATTGGTTGAAAGTTGTTTTGAGTTCCATATGTTTTTTAACTGTAGGAATGCTGTCCTTGCTTTGCCAATCCTTGCCTTTACGTCTGCATCTGAACCTCCTTGTTCATCGATGATGCTTCCTAGGTATGTGAAGGACTCTACATCTTCCAGAGTTTCGCCATCAAGAGTGATTGGATTGTTGTTTTCCTCTTTGAATTTGAGGACTTTGGTCTCTTTTGACCACACTTTGTATTCTTCAGTCTTCCCTGTCTAAGCTTTTATTGTGATTTTGATTGAAGACTTACACTTTGTTGCCTAGTTTTCTATTGCATGTTACCGGACTATCGACAGTAATGTCGTGTTTGACTAAGCTCAGGGTCACGGCTTGGTTTATTGTGTGACTATTAACCTTTGACTGTCTGCTTGAGAGGCTTGCTGGAATCCCTGCAGATATCTGATCCAATATTGTTGAAAATAATGTTATTGATTCTCAGGTACTTATCTCTTTTGTGTCAGCTATTTATTTTTTTGTTTAGCACGCTAATTTGTGTTGAAGAAACTTTTGACTGTATAGCACATGCTGTACCGTTTGTGGTATTTTGTATTCTGCTATGACCGGTTCTATTTCCTAAATTAGAACCGCTTAAATTGAGCGCTGAGTTTGTGTTTTGATATAATTTAATACGAGTGGCTCAGAATGCTTCGTACGCTTTACAGAAGAACGTAGTCTGGTCTAATCGAATAAATTTTGGTTTGTTATTTTCGCGTTCAAACCGAATATTGGCAGTTCGGTTGTTACAAATAAGATGGCGTGGCTCAGCCTTTCTGGCGGTCATTCTTGTGTAACTTATCTCTTTTATCCATACTAACTATTTTGTTCTATATCCAGCCTAAATCTGTCCTCCATCATATACTGGTGATGATTACAATGGGACGGGTCAATGTAGGCGATAATGTGGATTCCACGTAAGATCTTATAGATTAGGTGGTGACATCATGACAAATATACAATTCTAGGATTAGGTCTATTGTTAGAGTAGTACTAATAACGAAGTAGACCATAATCACAAAATATGTTTTCTGTATTTTGATGCAGGACTGTACTACACAATATTTATGAAGTTAGCTTGTATGCTGAGAAAGTCGCATAAAGTGATTTGTAATAAGGTCTTATGTATTTTTTCTATATAGCAGAAGAGGCTTTCAATATAAAATTCGGCGTAGATCAGTACTCGTACGGATGTCGTTCCGAGGTTCTCACACGTCTACGAACCTGTTTCAATATTTACATGTGTTTGGGAATTTATTCTACAGTTAATGCAAAAGTTTTAGAACTTGTGGTACGTCATTAAGTGAAAGATAAGACCAGTTGTAAGTTATTGGTAATAAACACCTCCTGTTAACTACGAAGAATTTTGAATTTTGCTTGTTATGGTTTACCTCTAAACTATCTAGTTGACCTTCTAATTTTCATATATAAACATTCCTAACAAGTATATATGTGATCAGATTGTTCGAACTGTACTGAGCAAATATATAAACTTCATCTTCTCATTGCATTATCGTAACTTGTTGTAATTGAGTAAATAATTAAGATGCTACGAAAGCAAATGTTTGACAATCGTAATTGAACTGTCACTATTCACTTATTTCTTGAAGACGCCACAGGTATTTGAAGTTTGACAACTCTTCAACCAGTAACACCTAATATGAATTATATCCACCAAGTGGAATCAAAAGACAGAAGCGAGGAGGTTCGAAGATATATTTGATAGGCTATCAATATACTGAGGATCATCTGATCTAATCTGGCTAGCCATTGCACGGCGTTCCAACTCGTGATCTGGTGCGGATGCATGACCGAGCGCATACAGCTTGGTGAGTTCATTAAAACTAATGTGGTGGGCATCCAATGTCTTTAACTTACGGAGCTATTTATTTTGGGGATTTATTTACCGCTACAGATCACCCCCCTAGTCAGGGTAGTAATGACCCTAAGACGTGGCCAGCCAGAAGTTTAAACACAACGAGTTTGTCGTTGGTAAACACTCTTCTGGTAGCCTTCTACGTTTAACAGAGTCTGGTCGGCTTTCCTTACTCTAAGGGACCATGAAGTACAATTTAGTAAAAAAAGAAAAAGTGCAATCAAAGTTTCGGTTCCTCGTAAACTTCATCGTTTTTTCCAGCCGTCCTGGAAAAGAAAAAGATATCTAAGTGCATGACGAAATACACTCGTACCCGCGTAAAAACACAAAGCAGGCGAAAAAATGAAAAATAAACTCATGCACACGTAATAGCGTACAAAAAGAAGATTTTTATAATACCTTTTTGTTGTTTTTTAAAATAAAAGTATGAATATATAAACATATTAAAATTGATTTTTTTTTAATTATATATAGTACAAAGGAAAATGAAGACGGTACAAAATGTCAACTAGTATCTCACGTGGAATAATCGTTCAGATGTTATAGCAATCTTACTCTTCTTCTAGAAATCGTTGTTTTAAGTTTATTTTCTGATACTGCCGAAGTATCATCGTGTGTGTTGATTGTCGGTGGAGGTATTATAAGAGTGGGAGTCGTGTCGTCTCATGGTACCGAAGGAAAATCTACGTGAATAGGACTTCCTTCTAAATACGATACTTTGAGGCGACTGATGCTGATGCTATCGTACTTGAGTTCAAGTTGAACAACTTTGAAGGGTCTGTAGTGGCATCGGACCATAACCACACTATCCTCAAAGCTGAATACGAGATTACTCGGAAAATAGGTATTCAATATTTAACGCGAAGAAATACCTAACGATGGAGAAGGCGCGAATAATGAATTGAATAGACTAGAGTTGATCGAACGGCATGGCTTGGCCATGCAGGCGTGGTCTCTGCTGAATGTTACCGTTCTTCTATTCATACTAAATATATTGTTCTTTCTCTAGCCTAACCTTGTTCTACATCATGTATTGGTAATTGATACGATACAGTGAGTTGGTGTAGTCGATGGTGTGACTTCCACGTAAGATCTTATAGATTAGGCAGTCATATCATGACAAGTCTACAGATTTAGGATTAGGTCTATTGTTAGAGCAGAATAATAGTAGACCATAGTTCTACAAGTCCTTCGTATGCTGATTC